GCGGAAATAGATACAATATATATATAATTAAAAATTATTTAATTCATGTATCATTTTCGAATTTCGAAAATGACAATTTTATATTATTGTCGTTGTTTGTCAATAATTCAAATGCTTATTCGATTTTTACACACACGCGTCGCGCTCGTGTGAAGATAATACATGTACAGCCGACTATTATAGCTTGTTAATACTGCTCGAATCCAATAACCCTGATGCATTATTAACTTTTGTAGCGATAATTTATATTCCATTTATTTCGCGTCATTTATCGTGCTCGAAATCGCAAGTAAGCCGTTTCCCATCAATTATCATCATTCATTGTGATTCTTATCAGCGAAATGTCGCTATCTTATTAGTTTATTATTAGCACCGTCAATGGTAGCGTGTTTCGTTATCCGATACGCCAATTCATTGCCGAAAGTCGACAAACCTACAACTCTATTGGCTCTCGAGTGAGGATTGCAGTTTTCTGTTCCTCGTGAATCGACGGATCGAGCTTTCCAATACGTATAAAGCAAGAAAAGGAGGATCTAAGAAGACAGAGAAAAGAATGGCGGCGGGAGGGGGATGAACGACTAGTGGATCAAACCGAATCCAATAACTCCCGTGGGATTACAACTCTGGCCCACGGGAACCGATCGTATTCCCGAGGAGATAGCGGGTGTGAGAGACGCGAGGCAGGAAGAGTGAAATGGGTGAGAGAAAGAGGAGAAGAGAACAGTTAGAGTTTGGAAAGGTGGTCTCTCTCATCCGGAGGAAAGGGAGAAGATTGGAGGTTGGCAGCTTTTTTCTTTGCGGCAACGGAGACGACGATATTTTGTCGACCCCCGCTCGACCCAAATGTAGAGAACAGCGCAGGCTGCATTCGTATCAACCGATATAGCTACATTTAGAGGTGAATGTTGGCTTGCGAGAAGTGGGGAGAGAGAGAAAGAGGGAGGGAGGGAGGGAGAGGGAGGGAGGGAAGGAGGAGAGAGAGAGAGAGAGAGAGAGAGAGAGAGAGAGAGAGAGAGAGAGAGAGAGAGAGACAATTCGTGCAAGCCCCAATACCCTACTCGTAGACACGTAGACAATATTAATCGGTTGCGGCGGTCGCAATAATTGCTATCGCTTTTTATATGTTGGACACGATATCGCCCCCTCAGGCTCGGGCAATCGGGTCGCGCGGAACAAACGGCCAAAGCAACCCTACCGCTAAATGATAAGAAAATACACTGTTCAATCACGAGCTTGTCAGGCTCAACGGGGTTTCCGTGACGCGCTTCACCAAGGCGTTGCCCGGCAAATTGAATTTCTCGAGGCGCCCGTTTTGCGCGGCTTGGATCCCGATTTCGCGGCTGACGCGCGAGCTCGCACGCGAGCAACGATAAGCAACGAATGAAAATGACTTAGCGCCGGTTCCAGACGGGCCAACGATAGTTACGGACCAGTGTGTAACTTATAAGCCGTTCGCGGGATTTTGACAAATCGTTCGAGCCCGATTTTCTCCTTGCATTTCTTTTTTCTTTTCTCTTCTCTTCTTCTCACTTTTTTTTTCTCTCGGCCCATCCCCTCATTTCCTCTTTTCTGGACTGATCCAGCCGCCTCCTAGTGTCGGTGCACTAAATCCTCGTGCAACGCCGCGCGAAAACTTTTTCCCCGCGAAGTTAGAGTTTTCTCGGGTTTATCGACGGTGCGGGTAGTTTTTACTTGGCAACTCCTTTTTTCTCTTTGCCTCCCCTTCCATATTCTCCTGCCGTCCGGTCTCTCCTTCGTTCTTTTCCCTGCCGATGGCTCGTTCCCAGTCGTCTTTACGTGGATCGGATAAGATTCCATAGCCACGCAAATCAAGCGGAACAAGCGGCTGTGCCGATTGCCCGATCGGACGGGTGCTTTGCGATCAATACGGTAAAGCGGTCCTTCGTGCTATGATAAGGTTTATCGAGTTATGTTAATCCAATATCTTAGCAATTGCTGCATTAATATCTTGTCTTGGAATATCAGAGATCGTATTGTTTCATACTTCTCGCTAAATGTGATCGCCTTAGATTTGGTTTCTCATTTTTTGATTAATTTTCGATTAGACTTAATCTGACGATATTGATTTGTTCGCGTTGCTGAAGCTCTAAAAATTTTTGCACTAAAACGAGATAAATATTCGGGTGAAAAGAAACAAGACGAAGATGCTAAGTACAAAAGTACACGCGAACAGACTTAATGCAAAAATTGTATTTTTCTATAATAGCTATGATCAATTACTGATGGTTTTATAGTAAGTTTTAAAGGTTCTACTACAAAATCATCAGTTTAATGATGAATCATAGTTCCACTGAAAAAAAATTGATAATAACTACTAAATGTTCAATTAATGCCAATTAAATGTTTAATTAAATAGTAAAATGATTTTTGAGTATATATTAATTGGTATTATTAACACGTTTAATTGGTATTATTTCACTAATCACTATTACTAAATTTTTTTCTCAGTATAGAAAAGCACAATTTTTACATTATTATCAGATAAATCATCATTAAATAAAGTTAAATCTAAAGCTCGAGTTGATCAGAAAATGAAATACCGAACCTCAGGAGATATTCAGACTTTGGTTGAAGATAACGTCACAAAGTTCCGTTGAAGGTAATTTCGGCAGATCGCAAACAATCGCAATACTTTCACGTAGAAACGTTAAAAGATGCATCACGCGTTCCAGTAATGTGAAACTAGTAGCGCTGAACTTTGTCGAGGAGACATCGCGAAAATGGAAAAGCGCAAACTACAGAGGACGAAGAAGAATTGTACTCACTGACTAAGGTGAGAAAAGGCGTACTGTGCTGCAGAAAATGGGGTGGGCTGCATGCTTCTTCCGGTCTAGATACCGCACTTCCCGTTTGTAGCTCGATCACGTGGCCGTCTCTTCGGTAGAATGTCATGCACATAAAACCACTCCGACTGAAAAAAGAAGGGTGCGAAGATTCGTAAAGATCAAAGCGACATATTCCATTACTTTAATCGCGATCACTGTAAATATCCGAACAGGTCCAGACGAATGGATGTGGACTAGAATTATGAAGTTTTATAGCGATTTCGTGAATATGAATCGATTCTCCCGTAAATCTTTTTCCATGCGTCATATTTTTTAATAAATATTCATGAATTTTTCATGTAGCGCATTTCTACCTAAAAATAAAAAATTTTCATAGAAAAACGATCTTATATTAACAGACAAAGTCATCAAGTACAGAGGAAAAAGTTTTTAATTAAAATAGGGAAAATTAATTACATTTTGAATTAGATAGACTCAAACAAACCAGAGTTAATAGCAAAAACACGAGTGTTTATTTTCATATTCAAATTATTATTTTTTAATTCTATATTTTTAAAAATACTGATGACTTTGTCTTAAGATCGTTTTTTTAATGAAAATTTTTTATTTTTGGAGCTTTTTAAGCTTTTCATATTGACTCTTTTGAATAGACCAATAATTAAAATTTACAAAAACTAATTTATCTTTGTGTTTCTGATTTTATATCAGTTTTTCAGATTTATTCAGTTTTATAGAAAATAGTTTTGCTAAGATATTTAAAAAAAATTTTTATTATTAAAATAATTGTGTAAAACATTTAAGATGAGGTTGAATATCAAAACTTTTTACAGAATTGCTTATCATGCTTGAGTGTCCTACATAATAGTTTTGATAATTCAACAAAATTAATTTCAGATCTCTTTCTCTCTCTCTCTCTCTCTCTCTCTCTCTCTCTCTCTCTCCATATCTAGCTAAATTTTTAATACTTCAGTAAAATCGTTCTTTTCATATAATATTTACAAAAATTAATAATTTCTTAATATAAGTATTTTTTATATAAAGTAAAATTGAATGAAGTAGGATAAGTGATACAGAAATATAAGACGATCTTACCAGCCAACAGTGAAGTGTGCTACCAGTGTCATCGTCATCATAGTCTGTGCACCATTCGACTGTTTTATGCTGTTACAAAGAATCTTCACGTCCTGATCTTCCGGTCCAGGCACGTATTGCAAGTCCATGGACCCGCTTTCAAAACTTGACGAAGTCGTGTTCGGTCTAGTGACGTGCAAAGACGCGTTTCGCGGATGAAACGTATAGGATCTGCCGAGGTCCAGAGTATGCCAGGTCAATCCGCCGCTTGAGTGTCCAGTCAGCCAATTTGGGAACCGACATTCGCCCGGGGACGAGACTAAAATAAAAGATGCCACGTTCCAGTTATTTAATGACGTGCTTTCGAATCTAATTAACCTTAGATTATTATTGATATTGAGTTCTACATATGTATATATAGTACTGCTATCGATACATAAATTTTACATAAATTATACGTACAAAAATAAACCTCTTAATTAATGTAACACAAGTTTTTCGTACATTTCACACTTTTAACAAACATGACAAAATATTTATAATTTAGACTTTTATAAACATAAATAACTTAATTATTGATTTATAAAAGGAAAGAAAGAATAAATACTAAAATTCATAAATTTCAATCTTAAAATATAGACTGTATAGAGCATATAGTTTAATTTTGTGTATGTGTATTTCCTCATGATATACTTAATAAAATATGTAATAACACAAACTGCTTAAAAATTGTTGTAATATTGACCATCAAAAAGGTTCATATTGATATAACGGACTAAATTTTTTTAAATTTATTTCCACTTATCCTAGCTTTTAACGCGTAATGGATTGGATCTCGATTGATCATTGAGAAGGCATAATTTAGCGCTCAATGACTTCGTTCACTTGTATGTAAAACTTATGTATCTATTGATAGTATTTTGGGATTAAAAGTAAGAAATAGCTATCGTAAAATCACATTTTTCTTAAACGAATAAGACAAATTGAAGATCGAGAAACAAATTACTTAATTCTAAAATATTTCAGTACAAGACTTCCACTCTTACTCTTAATGCAAACTACGAGTACATTTCTGACCAAAAAATTAATTTTAGAATAGAATATCTGTGTCAAAATACTTTTACCATGATGTTTTATTCTATAAAGAATGGTTTTGTTAAAGTATTTAAAAATTAGCTAAATACAGATCTGAAAATATATTCGTAATTTTGTTAGATTATCAAAATAGGATTCTCAACCTGGTTCTTAGAATGTTAAATTTTGCATAATTATTTTTATTTATTATTATTGACAGTCCAATAAAGTTATTTTTAAATCGTGATAAACATTGCTAAATTTTTAGATACTAAGCAAAATTATTGTGTAGAAAAATTCTTTTGTATTTAAATGCGAGAATTTTTCAATCGACGTAAAACTGCGATTAGATTTTTTCATTAGATAACATGTAAAAACCGAGTTTTCCTTGTTAACCGGAGAATTCTATCGGGGTTAGGTCAAAGGTGGATCCTACTTGGAACCTTTCTCCGCGCAACTCTCGTAAAACGAACGATTCTCCAAGCGATCGTTATGCGTCCCATCACGTATACGGACTCGTCGTCCATAAAGGTCGTCGCGGCTTCGACATCAGCGGTGACTACATCGAACCGATGCCGATCAGCCGATTCGATGTGGTACCGCTGAAAAAATTCCGCAAACTCCACGGCCGCTCACCGTAAAGTCCTTCGTATCGCAGAACGACGAAGTCGATAAACCGACGACGTCGATACTCTGTCGACAGCAAGGTAGAATCATATTCCGGATGTCGCGCGGCCCAACGAATACGCCTGTCCAACCTCTCCTTTGCCCGCTCTTCCGTTTCGTTTTCATCCCACAATAGCGAATGTACTGACGATGTACCAAACTCTCCGCATGTCATACGTTCGCCAGCGTTCCACTTCCGGTCTGAGTGGGACGTAAAACCGAAGCGTCAGAAGAGAGGTCACCTCGATTCACGTCGAGTGGTTTCGCGGTGGTGCGGTGGGGTACGGTCGAGGGCGAAAGGTCGACCGAGCGGGTTAACGGAGCGCGCGGAGTATGGTCGGTTTTATGGCATATAAAGGTATTGTTGCACACCGCGCGGCAATGAATGGAAATAATTTAACGATCTGGCTCGATAAATACGCGATGTCCACACACGACCAAGATACAAATTCTGCGATCATAAAAGTCGAACGAAGTCTTTTCACATATTCCTTTTAAGATAGAAACAATATCGCTGTTATTTCGTTTCTGTCATGTCATGCAAGAATTAATATCGTTGATAAAGTTATTGATTTGTAAATTCACGTTTCAGTATGTTTTCCCGTTTTATTTTTTCATTTCATTCGTTGATATTTATTGATTGGCTCGTATTTTTTTCATTGGATGTCAGATAAACTATTACCTACGTAATTTATTTATTTAACAGTATATATAAGAGTGAAAGAGGCGTGACGTGAAACTTTTTAAACTGCGTATCGTATAAAAAACAAAAAGTACAATATTACGTAATATCACATGTGCTGGTGACCTATATTGCGCTCTTTCAGTGAAATGCATTTTAAATTCCCATTAAATGATTTATACTACAAATACAATTACATATTGTCCCAGTTTCGTTCCTTTTAGATTAATTGCAGAAAATACACGCAAAATATAAACGTCCCACTGTACGTCCTTTTAATAATATCACATGGCCAAATGTATAACATAATAATATTGCTCTATATTGCATTATTATTTTCGCTTTTTTTTTTAGAATTTTACTTTTTTTTTTATAATTATTCATTTTCAAGCTTCCAGATATTTTTGGTTTTTGATAATGAAAAATTGCGAGAGTATTTTTTCAAGATTATTATATGTACATCAGATATGTCGATCATTTAATCTAGAATAGAAATGGTTCAAAAAATAGTCGACGACATTAAAATCGTTGACAATTAATGTTGTTTTTTTTTTTTTTCAGAAATTAAGTTTCCAAGATTGCCATTGGAAACATATTGGCATGGCGGACAACTATACTGAATGAATTTAACTGCTCTGAATCGAGCTACGTGCAATTTTGAGCGAATTACAAGTAATTGTAATGCAGATAAAGCGACGGTAATTCGGTGGAATATGCGTGATGTCATGATTATGAATTTATATACGAATTAATAATTGAGTGGATGTACGCGTACGCACGTGCGGGGAATTACGTCTATGTCGACGTGTGCAGCGAATATTACATTTATACCGTTACTGGCAATCGCGTTTGACAAACGCTCGACATTTGTATTATCCATAATATTCTTTTGTAGATGTAACCGAATTAGGTTAAAGCAATTCGGTCGCGATGATAATTCAAGATAGAACACAGAGAAATATATATCGCATAATCGTAAACTGTATAACACGTGTTCGACCCTCTGATTCGACCCTTAATCTTTCCATAAAATTTACTTTTTTAACATTTATATTTGTTTATACTCGTTTTCATTTTAACAATTTTTATTTGAATAATTAAAAAAAAAATGTAATTAAATCTCTATTTCGAAAAAATAAAGATGTACGAATATTTGGTGAATATTATTCTTCATTTTCTCTTCTCCATTGACAGTATATTTTTTTATTAAAATAATCTAATTTACCAAATGAGAAATTATAAAATCATACAGTTTTTTATGTTTATTTAATTTGTCGAATGTATATAAATTTAATAAATTTTATTTATATTACAAAATAATATACTTAATTTAATCCTTTGTCTGTAATCATATTTTATTTCTTTCACCTGCAATCTTGGCTTTTATTGTTTAATCTAAGTTATTTATTGTTGTAGGTTTAAAAAAAATTTAGGATTACTTTTCAACATCTTTATTTTATATCAGCAAACAATTTTAATTCAAATATTAAAACTTTTATTTAATAAAATTGAAATTTGAGCAAAGCTCAAGATAAAATTTAAGAAATTTGGTTTGGCCAAGATTGCAGATGAAGGGTTGAAAACTAAATATTGTTTTATCAATATTTTTCACTTTTTTTGACTTATTAATAATAACATTAATAATTAATATAAAATAATTAATATAATAAAATATTAATAATAAATAATAATACAATTTCGATTAACAATTTTCGCAAAAGCTGTAAAAGAATTGATACGCTCGACCACCTTTCATAACGATTCGTGGCAACGTTGTCTCTGAAATTTTTCGGGTAATTGGAGCAATTTGTCCTTCCGTTCGTCTAACTACTTGACTCTTCCTCGAACCGAGTACGCTCTGAGCGAGTATCTCAAGTTGCAGTCTCGCAGTTTTCCCCAGATATTTACTCTGGCGAAGTAGATGCCGAGCTAATTGAACAAACTTTGGATCTCGACCGAGGCTGCGGACGCGGTTAATAGGGGCTCGCGAGTGTCGGAAGATGAGGGCGAGATACGTACGCGAGCTGGGAGTGAAGTGGAACAAAAGAAGCCCAGGGTAAGGCTCGAAGGGTAAAGTGGGAAAGGTTCAATGTTAATCCATTTTTCCGCGTCCCTTCACCTGGCTGCTCTTCCGCCTTTACCTCGCGCTTTTTCCTAGACGCGGGTCGTAATATTAACGGCGGCGAAGCTTACAAACATCCCCCCAAGACTTGTCTCTGACTGCGTCCTTAAGCCTCCCTCTTTTTCCTCCCTCCCCCAATTCGTTCCCTCTTCTTCTTTTCTTCGGCGAGTTTTATGCGTGTGTCGGTGACTCCCACTCGACTTAAAACGATTTGCCGAAGAAAGTGGCAATTGGAGAGGCACCCGATGAGCGCAGTAAAGAGAAAGAGAGAAAAAAAGGGAACGGTGGATGCGACGCCGGAGATGGCATAGGAGAGGATCGCGAAAACCCATCGGAGTGAAATCCGTTAACGAAGTTTGTTGTGAGACTGTACGCGAGGCAAGATACGGGTTTGCAAACTCAGTGGTAAGGGATGATAAAGCCAGGTGGAGGCAGGTGGACCAGGGCGGAAAAATAAAATGCGAACGCGGAAAAGTCGAGCAAATATGCTCTTCTTACTCGCGAAGCGAATCTGGCGCGTGTTGACACGTTCGATTAGCGCGTGCCCTGCGCGAGTGCAGTTTCGTTTATGAAGAAATAAGTTTAAAAAGACGAGGGCGGTTTTGCGATTCATCATCGGGCTTTGTCATCGCTTGCGGGAATATCCTATTATCACGTCACGTGAGCTTTATCATGCAAATAATAGCATTAATAACATTACCATCAATCTCCTTCAACTTACTTCTATTCTTCTCATTTTACTGACGAGTACCAAGTGCCTACCACCCATATTTTTTTCAAAATTATTAACTGTTATGTTTATAATGCGATATGGAAGTTCTGAAATCTTTGAATTTTCATAAGGAATACAACGTTCGATGGAAATTATTATTTAAATTTCATTCTAAAATTGGAAAATTTGTATTAAATTTAACATCGAGTTTAACATACATTACATGTCTCAAACGGTGCACTTTCTGTATTAATTTAATTTAATAAAATATTAGGTAAAAATTAACACAAAAAAATATTACGCTTTGACACAATTTGGAAACAAATTGTGGAAGTTTATTTTTTTTAGTAAAATTAACATTTATAATATATGTTAAATTAACATATTCTATACTACTACATAATAATATATGCACAATTTTTCATATCACTTCGAGGTCACAAAACTGGAAACCAGGAAATTATCAGGTAAATTGGAAACGATCATGGAAAAGTAAGGGAATTTCGCAAAATATTTAAAAAAATTAATTCTTGGCTTTAAAACAGTTTAATAAACGTACCCCGTAGTGTTTTTGGAATTCTATCAATTTAACAATTAAAAATTAAAAATAAAAACAACATTAATAGTAATTTATATTGCTAAATCGTTAAATTAATTTCTCAAAAAAATATTTAATGATTTTCACAGATCAGGACAAAATATAAAAATTTTCAAAGTATTATTAAATCAAAGAAAATCATGAAATTTTGTGTGAAAATCAGGAAAAAATATGAAATTTTAGGATGAGCAATTTGTGACAATTCTTTCTGCACTCGAACAAATCTAGTATAATCGGGCCACTACCTTTGACATAGCCGATTCAACAATAACAGACATAATGCCAACAAACAAAATGCCAACTCACGTGGCACGATAATGACACTACGTACGAGATGCATGAGGAATGGGCTGTTATGCAACAATAACAATGGAGGATCAGTTATTTTTCGGTGGCGCTTACCGGATAGGAAATAGCTGTATACTGTGTGCTCGGCCGCGTGTGACAGTGTACGCGTGTGCGTACAATCACCGATTTTAATGATCACCTCAGATAGAAGCGGCGACGGTAACGTCCAAACCCTGTTTATCACCGACCCGCTTTTGTCCTCGCGCGATAATTTCAGCGGATATCGCGGATATCGCGATAGTATCGCGGCTGCGATTCATTACGCAGAGTATCCGCTGACCTGCCGGACGTGCAACGGCGAAATTAAGAAAACACGGAATATTTACGACTGCGAAATATCCGCGTGTACATTTCGGATCAAAAGACTACGGGGGCAGAGCGGGTATTACGAGATGTTGTTTATCCAACGTTATTTATCCTCCGGTTCGGACTGGAGAGGAGGAGCATTCTGGAAATCACGGAACGGAAAAATGCATCGTGGCCAAATGTGAGGGGAGGACGGTGTGCCGATCAACATATCCTTCCGCGATGTTCTACGAGTTTTAAAGCCCGCTTTCATCGTCCCGAGAATTTCATATCTTTCCTTTCGCGATGATATTTATCAAGTGTAATGCGGGAGCGTGAAGCTCTAGTAATTATATATGAATCCATTAACGGAACGAAATGGGATTGCGAGCCCTCGAGATGAAAAGCGAGTAAGACGGAAATGCGCGAGCGGGGTAAAAGGGAGAGGGAGATGTAGAGCGCGACTCGCCAGACATCGTACAAACACGTTCTTCTTATTCATGGAATGAAAAACCCGTACGTTGATTAGCAATTCTTTCAAGTATACGCTTACGCTACCGCCATTGCATTCCGGTTCGCATTTTTGCGAGTTATAATTTAATATTGTTGAGTGCTGTGGACTTCCTGCTTAAGACGTTATAACGCAAGATCGTTATGCAAAATACGCATCAGAAACGATGTAACATCGCGGCGTGGTGACGATCCGCGCCGCGCGGCCGCAGCAATAAAAATTTTCAAAAATTCGGTCAGATAGAAAATAACGATAAATTGAAACGTCCACATTCCCGATGGGAATCCTCGTCAAGCACGTATTTACACTGTAATAATTAAAATCTACGAGAGCGGTAAAAATGGAAAAATTTTAACGATGGCGAATCACACAACTGGATGGGAGATACAATTCGTTGATACGATTTATTATCATGCAATATCTCACGATAATTAAACATTTTTTAACTGCCACAACTTTTCCACCCGTTAAATATCTTTGTTACCGTGCGAAATCTTCATTGCGCAGCCTTAATTATTAACTGAATCCCTATCACTTTTTTACTTAAAAAAAATGACGTTTCCCGGAAAATAGAAAAAATTATTTTTTCAATTTAAAGGAAATTATTAACTAATTAAATAATATCGGCAAAAAGATATATTCTTAATAATTAAATTTTTGTTATAAGTACGACCATATTTAGAGAAACTTTTTATTTTGATGAAATGAAACTTTCCGATTAAGAAACCAACGAATGAAATTAAATCTCTATTTGTTATAATCTAAAATATTCTTTTATATCTGAATGTTATTAAAAATATATCTTACAGAAAAAATGATTTTGTTGAAGTACCTAATAATTTAGCCAGATACAAATGAAAATAATTTTATTGGAGTATCAAAATAATGTAGAACGCTTAAGCTGATTTGGCTAGAAAACTTTATGCAATATTGCTCATCATGCAAGAATTTCCTACATACCTAATTATTTTCATGATCCAATTTATTTTCGGATTTGTCTCGACCTAAATTTTTTTTATTTCAACGAAATCGTTCTTTCTGTATATAATTCTTAATTCTTCACATATTACGTAATAAGTTTTTACGGATCTATTTTCTCATCTATTGCTTGTCCATTTTTATTAATCTAAAAGTAGATAAAATCCTTGAACGCTTTCCTTCATCAATGAATCTCAATGTTTAACTCTGTTTTTGAAACGTTAAAATTAGAGAACGATGAATTAAATAAGAAATTTCATTTCACACAGAACTGTAACTGTAGAAATAGTGACTTTGTTATTTAGAATATGTCAGAATATGTCAGATGATGAATGAAAATCGGATATACATTATATTGATTTCTCGATATGATCAGATCATCATCATCGTCAATATAAAAATAGCAACCGTCTGAAAGAAATAATTCAACAGAAATATCGAATGTTTGAATGAAATGAGAATTAATTTAATGCTTACGTATCATCGCTCCAGAATGAAAAATTAAACAGTCGTCAATATCTACATGTGTAATGTTAGAAGAAATCAATTACTGAATGTATTACTGAATGTAATTTTAGGGTTTAACAATTTTAACATCTTGTAAAATCAAAATAAAATAACTTGCAGTATACGCGATCATGATATATCAATAAACTATTTTATAATGCGCGATGTGAAAACACAGAAAGAATCATTTGCTGAAGTATCTAAAAATTTAGCTAGATTAGCTTTAAAAAATAATTCTGTTGAATTATCAAAATAATTATATATAGGACGTTCAAGCACATAATGATAGTAATGCTGGAAGAAGTTTTAACATTCTAATTTCAGCGTTCTATATAATTATTTTGATGATTTAACAAAATTATTTTCAAATCCAGTTAAATGTTTAGATACTTTAGTTTAGTAAAACCGTTCTTTTCGTTTATAGAAATGTCTCAACAATCAAGTGACCAAATGATAGATACAAAGAAATTTGATTTTCAGGAATTCGATCTTCAATGCGTCATTGGGACTTACCTTTCCTCAGGGTCATCGTTCGGGAACCTTCCATGGGACTGAACAGACCGTTGCACGTCGCGTCGCCACTTTGTGCCACCCGGTATACCTCGGCGGAACCTTCGGGCACCGGCCCGCCCGGTAAGGCGACTTCGTGGTCCATGGTGCCCATACCCATGGCCGCCCTGTTCAGATTACCCTGCACAGTCTGGCCTGCCTTTTCGTAAACGAAGCACCGGTATCGATCTTCGTTACTGGACGCGTGGCCGTGATGCAAACGGCCGACTAAGTAACGGCTGCTGCCCTCCTTCCAGGTGGCCAGACATTCCAACTCCTCCACTGAAACGCGCAAAAGAGAATATCATCTTGAATAAAATCTTCCGAGCTAACAATAGTTTCGAGTACAAGCGCAAGTTCCGCAAAACCGTTCGCTTGGTATAGTGCGAATCGCGTGAGTGGCACGCAGAAAAAACGATCTTACTGAAGAAGGTGTCTAAAAAATTAAATATCAAAATGATCATATAGGATGCTCAAATTTGATGATAATGTTGCAAAATATTTTAGCATTCTAATAATCAGTTTATTTAAGTATCTTACATAATATAATTTTATTGGTCAAATAAAATTATTTTTAGATTTATATCTAGATTTAAATTTTTAGATACTTCAGTAAATTCGGTCTTTCCGTACAGAATGTTCTTTCAACGCTTTCTCAAATATGATGTATTAGAATGTTGTGCAAAATTCTCGCCGAATAAGAGCTATTTAAATCCTTCGTGGTCACACCTTTCGAAAGTTCTGTAATAGTCATACTCCAGGATCAAAATGCCTCTAGAATACATTTAACCAGTTGCTGTATTTATAGTAATCAGAGCTATATTAATTAGAGACATAAACCCTCAAAATTTTTTTGGAATCAAATTGAATCTAACCATAAAGGGTTAAGATCTATGCACAGTTTAATCACTCGTGTGTATTCACAGAATCTGACGAACCATCTCTCTCTACCATCTTTCTTGTCGATCTTGAGCCGATCTTTCCTCATTGACTATTCAAGTGGCTAAAACTCGAGAGTCTCGAGAAACAGTTAGTTACCGAACGGTTTCTTTTTAATCTCCTATGAGAACTTAGCGCGATATTGATAAGAATTCCGCGTGCGAAACTAACAAATTGTCAACGGCACAGCCCTCGATGTTAGAATCTGCTTAGATCCGAGCACCATGTGCTCTTAGTACGCACGGGCGTAGAAAGCGTGTGCAAAGCATTTGAAACTTCGAAAGCGCATTTAGCGTTTCGAAGCGTGTTACAAGATAATGGTGAAGCATAGTTGCGGCCTGACACTGCACGCTCCTATGTTTAAACTGTCTGGCGCAACAAAATTAAATGAATTTGAGTTTGACGGTTGGAGCGCTAAACGTGCTTTCGAAGTTTCAGGCGTTTTACACGCTAGACTCGTTCTCAGGGGCGACCGTAGCACGATATACGTCCCAAAGTTTTATTCTGTGAGAGCGACTCCATGCGCGGCTGAAACTATTCGCTAGACAAAGAATCGAAAGGAAAGCTCTTAATGACACTTGCTTAACGGTCCTGGTACTGGTTGCTTGAGAGAGGTTCTCGGACAAGTCTTCCGAACATACATTGTAGCTTCGGATAGCTGCGAAAACTTTATAATATCTACAGTAAACGTTAGAAGTAGAGTGATATTAGGATAACTGTCCTAATTACTGTGCCTGTTAGTGTGCTTTTGTATTTCGATAAATCATAAAGAAAACTAGTATAAATAAATAAGAAAAAACATTTTTTTTTGTTAAATTATTAATACATACGATACCGAAAATAATATTTTATTTTTTAAGTATTAAAGTATTTTAAATATTTTTCGAAAGATATGAGGAATTTATGTGAATCCAGTAATACGTACCGCAAGATTTTAAACTTGTCCCTATTAATGTGCCTTGTATTGAAGCTGAGAATGTGTTATGAACGTGTTATGAATGTGTTATGAATGTACTTTGAAATAAATATAATTGAAATAATAATTTATATAATATTAATATAAACAATAGCTTAAATTTATTAGCTGTTTTAGTATTATAACTATATATTAAAATGAATCAAGTGGATAGGCACATTAATAGAGCCATCGCTATATAGAGGACTCATTAATAAAGGCATAAAAATATATTTTCTATTTTTGTCAAAAGTATTATAAAGTATTAACATTTTTTTAGATTAAAGAAATATTATAAGAAAAAGAAGTAGTTGAAAAATCAATATTCATTGCAAGCAGATAAAATTAAAGTTACAATATTTAATAATTAATTCAATAATAAGCAAATTGGCTAAAAGGCACATTAATAGGGACAGTTACCCTATTCGCATCACAATTGCTATATTCATCGCTTATTTACTTTTTCGCGGTAAAGTAGGTTTTGTACACTGATGATATTATTAAAATTAATTCTCTAGAACTGATGATGAGTCTATTAGATCCATTCAATTATATATTTTTTATATTGCAGCTATAATTAAGGATTTCGCCTATTTAGATTAAATGCGTACAGTTATTAACTGTATACTATTATTGTAAATAGTAATAAAAATATTTAAAATTAAGTAATTTTAAATCCTCAAACTCCTACAGAAAGTTTAAAGTCTAATTGTCAACGTTATTTTGACTGGCGAAATTTAAACATGTATCTGTCTTTTTTTCTAAATTAATAAAGACAGGTATATATTTGAGTTTTAAAATTAAAATAACGTTGGCCTTAGCCTTTTAAAGATATTGCATGTCTTACTTGTTCATTATAAGATCGAAGAAAAACAAAAATATCACTAACATTCTTAGAAATCTTCCTTAGAAAATATTCGAATGTCTTCAGCAAGATATTTGACATGTTTTAAATATCAAATGAATGACATAATGCACAACATTCTGTGTAATTGTTATCTACAGTGTAAACATTCTTACACGCTGTCACTGTATGTCGTCACTGCGAGGAATTCTGGACACAGAAATAAATCAAGTGAGGCAGGGGATGAATAAAAAATCTAAAAATATTTTTAACTATATAAAAAAATAACATAATAAAAGACATCAGTCAATTAAAAGTATTCTGCAAATATAAATAGCAAAATTAATATGCTTTACACATTACATTGATAAGGTTCTTACATTGATCTGCAGCTATTTTAGCTGTTGGCTGTTTGCAATTTTGATTATACTACTCTTTATATTCTCTAATTTGACGTACTCTGAGGATCGATTGTGTATCTTGGAATGAAATAAAAATTACGAAAGTGAACAAATTCACTAGAATATTAATAATTTCATTGGTCAACATTGAGTGAGCTTTTGTAATTTTTATTTTGTTCTAAGATATACAATCGACCCCGTATGTCAAATCTATATTTACATATATATACAT